CAAGGACTATGGGATGCAGGAATTCAGGAATGCAGGGATTGAGGGATGCAGGAATTCAGGGATGCAGGAACTTAGGGATTCAGGCATTGAGGGATGCAGGGATTCAGGCATTGAGGGATGCAGGAATAGAGGGATGCAGGGATTCAGGGATGCAGGAATTCAGGGATGCAGGAATAGAGGGATTCAGGCATTGAGGGATGCAGGAATAGAGGCATTCAGAGATGCAAGGACTATGGGATGCAGGAATTCAGGGATGCAGGAATGGAGGGATTCAGGCATTGAGGGATGCAGGCATTCAGGGATGCAGGAATAGAGGCATTCAGAGATGCAAGGACTATGGGATGCAGGAATGGAGGGATTCAGGCATTGAGGGATGCAAGGACTATGGGATGCAGGGATTCAGGGATGCAGGGATTGAGGGATTCAGGCATTGAGGGATGCAGGCATTCAGAGATGCAGGAATTCAGGCATTCAGAGATGCAAGGACTATGGGATGCAGGAATTTAGGGATTCAGGCATTGAGGGATGCAAGGACTATGGGATGCAGGGATTCAGGCATTCAGGGCTATGTGGATGCAGCATTGAGGAATTCAGGAATTCAGGGATGCAGCATTCAGGCATTCAGGGACACTTTGGGGGGCTCTGGTTTCTCTTGCAGACTTTGCACATCGGGAGCTCCCACCTGGCCCCCCCAAACCCAGACAAGCAGTTCCTGATCTCCCCTCCTGCCTCTCCCCCCGTGGACTGGAAGCAAGTGGAGGATGCCACTCCAGTCATCAACTACGACCTCCTGTATGCAATCTCCAAGCTAGGACCAGGTGAGAAGGTGGAAAAACCAGAATTTTGGTGGAGGAAAACACCTCAAAACTTCCTGGAATTCTAAAACTTTTCCAAGAAATTTTTATTTCTGTTTATTTTTGTTTATATTTTCTGGTTATTTTTCTTTCCATTTATATATTTTAGTTCCATTTATATTTTAGTTCTATTTATATTTTCTTTCTATTTATATTTTGGTTCTATTTATATTTTAGTTCTAATTTTATTTCCATTTATATTTTAGTTGTATTTATATCTTGGCTTTATTTTATTTATTTTTATTTGTATTTTATTTCTGTTTATTTTTCTTTCTATTTATATTTTATTTCTATTTATATTTTAGTCTTTTTTTTCCATTTATATTTTATTTCTATTTATTTTACTTTCTATTTATATTTTCTTTCTATATTTATTTTCTTTCTATTTATTTTTATAAATTTCTACTTCTATTTTCTTTTTCTATTTTTTCTTTTTTTTTTTCCTTTCTATTTATATTTTCATTTCTATTTTTTCTTTTTCTTTTTATTTCTGTTTTTCTCAGAGGAGGAAACTGCTACTGAGTGTAGGAGGAACTATCAGTATGAACATAAAATTCTTTGGAATTTAAGAGGGATAAATTCCTGCCCCTCCTTTCCCCAGTGATTCATGATCACGTCCTTGATTTCCCTTTTCTCCCATATTTTATACAACTTATCCATGAAAATTGGTGCAAATTAATCTTTCCTTAAATCCAGCTCAGATTTAACCTGTTTGGGGCAGTATTATTAATTTTAGGGGAGAGAAAAATGGTCACATTTAATAACATTGAACAGAATTAAATTACTCTTATTATATGAGAATAATTATTCTCATTAATAAGATTAGAGAAAATAAAAACTGTGTCAGATTCATTTTATTGGAGAATTTTTAAAATTCCTGTTCACCTCCCAACTCAGGGAATTGTAAAGGATGGAGAAAAGGGCAGGGCACAATTTTGAGCTCCCCCCATCAAGAAACCTCCTCATTAAATATTTTTAATAATTTATTATGAAATATTTTTATCAGAGATTTTATTTCCCTGCAATGGGTTTTGGAAGCAGAGGTTGTTTCTGATGGAGCACTTGGAATAAATAAGTAAATAAATGAATAAATGAATAAATAACACAGCAGCCTCAGTTTGTGTGGGAGTTCAGAGCTGCTCCATGCTGCTGTTCCTTTACTCCAAGTTTTGCTTCCAAATTTTAGGAAAACCAAAAGGAAACTTTAAAACAAATATTTTAGGCCCTTCCAAGCACTAAAAATTTGTCGTTTTTCCGTTACTGAGCATTCTTATGAAATTTTCCCACCTAAAAACCCCATTGAAAATTCACCATGTCCAATTTCCTAAAAAAAAAAAAAAAAAACCAATGAAAGTCACCACGTCACATTGCCTAAAAAAGAACGATTAGAGATTCTCCATGTCCCATTTCCTAAGGAATTTCCCCACCTAAAAACCCCATTAAAAAATCACGATGTCCCATTTCCTCAGCAATTTCCCCCCCTGAAGAAGCCCCCAGGTGCCCTTTCCACAGGAATTCCCCATCATGGAAGAACCTTCAGGTGACATTTCCTAAGGAATTCCTCACCTGAAAACCCTGTGGAAAAGCCTCCAGGTGACATTTCCTCAGGAATTCTCCACCAAAAACCCCATTAAAAAATCACCATGTCCCATTTCCTCAGGAGTACCCCACCTAAAAACCCCATTAAAAACCCCCCAGG